CTCCCCTCCGGTTCCCGTTCCGGGGCGCCCGGTGCCGGCGCACGCTGCGCCTTCCCCGGGAAATGGCGGCCCCTCCACGACTCGCCCGGGCAGTCCCGGCGTCGCGCTTTGCGCGGGAAAATGATAAATAATAACACAAACAGGGGCCATAAAAGTAAAGTGGCTGCGGCGTGGGGGAGGGCTGCGCGGCCGGGTGCGGGACGCGGACTCGCGCGCGGCGCGGCGGGTGAGACCGGCCCGCAGCCCCCGGCTCCCAGCCCGCGGTGCAGGGCCCGGTCCGAGCCTGGCCAGGCTGGCATCTTCTCGCGCCCGCGGGTGTCCTGCCCTACCTTTCCTCGAGGGGGCGCCCTCAACTGCTGCCCTCTTTGTTCCAGGTAACAATGGCCAAAGGTCCCTTGGTCCTGCAAGGGTCAGAGGTGAACCTCCCTTCGCTAGTTTAGCATCGCTGTTTGTTCCCTGATTGAACCTGAGGACTGGTCGTTTTGCTGGGGCTTTTTAGCAGCAGCCTCGAGGTGGATGAGGGGATCAAAGCGGAGAAATGGGTTGGGAAACCAAAGCCCTAGTCCCCTGTGTTTAAGGAGTGCAGCGGGCTTGGCTCCTCATTGTGGCGCAGCCCCTGTGGTACAGCGGCGCAGTGCTATCAGTCCAGCCTTGCCCAGTGAGGGGAATTCAAGGCGAGGGCCCGCAGACCCCAGGAGCCCGCGGGGCTCTCATGCCACAGTGGCGAACCATCCCAATACAGTTGCACCCTTCCTGGGCTACGCAGTTGCTACTAAGATGGTTCAGGAGGTGGGAAAAAAAAAAAAAACTTATTAAGAGTGAAAATGACTTAATTTGTATTGTCTTGAAACACAAACTAAGCCACCCATAATTCTCAGTCTGTTCATATTTAACTGGGAGTTATCTCATTCTCCTTTAGCAAACTCTTCTTACATTTAAACTAATTTTATTCAGAGCTCCAAGATTCACTACCATGCCTGTGACTTTTAGAATTCCTTTAGCCTGAGATTATCATATAAATAAATAGAGGGATTGCCCAGTGGGAAGGTTTCTCTCCAATCATATAATTCACGTCTTGGAAATGCTCTTCACTTGTATCTAAATTTCCTCCTGAAATAGACCTACTTTTTTTTGCTCACCTCCGGTTTCCCTGCCCCAGTACAGTTCTGCCTCGCCTGGCTCCATTCATTGTCAGGCTTTAGATATTATTGATGGGTTCCACTATTTGAAAACTATAAGGAATCTAGCCCTGGATCCAGAATGTCCCAAAGAGTCTGACCCTACTTCCTCACCTTTCCTTCTTGTCTACCTCCCAGGGTTTGGAGGCGCCAATGGTGGCTGAGTCCCAGCAGGTGGGACACCCCACCAGCTATTGTCTGACACAACCACTTCTGTTTTTTCTGCCTCCTGCCAGCAAAGCAGGAGGTGAATTCTGTCGTAGGCTACTTTAAATGAAAGATAGCCCTAACTTGTTCAGGGGAAGGATGTGTAAAAATTCAACCAGCTTTCTCAAGAATGTTTTTCATTTTTAAGAAATAACCTGGGCCCGGGGAGATGGCTCAGTAGGATAAGCGCTTGACTGGCAAAAGCAAAGGTTCTAAGTTAAATCCCTGGTTCCGCAAAAAAAAAAAAAAAAGAAAAAGAAATAACCTCAGAGTTAGATGCAATCTTGGTAAATGCTTTGAAAATGTGTAATGCGCAGAGATAAGGAAAAAAAAAAAAAAAAACAAACAACAACAACCCAGTGTGCTCAGAGGTCATTCAGCAAACCTTCAGAGTTCCGATTCCCAAACGCTTCTGAATGGAAGGAGCAGTGCAGAGGTGAGCAAGTCAGTGGCCTTTTCTCACTGAACTGGCAACCCCCAGCCTAGGAGATGAAAATAGAAATGCAGGCAGAACAGAGTGGAAGGTGAAGTTGACACGCTTGTACTGCTGACAGATGTGTAAATACAGCCAATGCAGAGGGCAGGTTAGCATTACTCAGTGCGCACACTGTATAACCCAGCACTCCATTTCTTGGTGTGTGTCCTAAAGAAGTGGATACGTACACTCAGGTCATTGCTGAGTTTTGGTAGTTCCAAAGTTTAAAAATAAAAGCCATAAACAGGAAATAGCCAGAAATAAATGCTGATGTATTTATCTATTTTCTGGAATATTAAGCAGCAGTTGAATGAAACGGGCTGAGGATATAGTTCTGTGGCACAGTGCCTTTCTGGCAAGTGCAAGGTCCTGAGTTCGATTTCCGATACCAAAAAAATAAAGAATGAATGAAACAAATATATATCAAATATATAGCTTTTATATATATGGAGAGAGAAGTCACCAAGGTGCACTATTAATGAAAAAGAGATAAAATGTAAAAGAGTTTCATACCATTCTGTATTATTGATATTAAAAACAATGAGCTAGAAGTAATGGTGCACACCTGTCATCCTCACTACTAGGGAGACTGAGTCAGGAGGATCTCAGATTTGAGACCTGCCTGAACAGCATCGTGAAACTCCCTCAAAATAAAAATTGAGAACTAAATAAAACAAGGGTTGGAGACGTAGTCCAGCAGTAGAACACTCGCCTAACATGTATGAAGCCCTGCCCTCCCGCCCCCCAACCAGGTATTGAACTCAGGCCCTTGCACTTGCCCGGCAAGCGCTTATTCTACCGAGCTCTCTCCCCCACCCCTGAAGCCCTGCTTTTAATGCCCAGGGCCATGCAAAAAAAAAGGAGGGAGAGAAGGAAAAATTTCTGTAAGTTGAAAAATGCCGCATAATTGGGCAGAAAGGCATAGATAACCAGTCAAAGAGACAAGAGTTGGAGGAATCATCAGACAGCACTTCATTTTTTGCAGTGTAATAGATTAAACCCAAGGTCTGGGGCAGGTTAGGCAAGCGCTCCACCCTGGGGCCAAGGAACACCTGTCTCTTGCTGCCTGAGCCTACCAGCCTGCCCCGCAGGCTTGGCTTCAAGGATGAATGAAAAGCGCCAGCGATTTCTTTCATTGCAGTGATTCGGTAAACATTTTAAAGGAGGTATTTACAATAAAGAAAACAGCGAGCCAGTAAAGAAGGAGGTGAATAATAATTATTGGATGAATAGACTGGGAGGTGTTTGCAGGCGTAAAGATTGAACCCAGGCCTTCGCCCTCAGCTACATCCCTGTCCCTTTTTTATATTTCATTTTGGGAACAGGTCTCGCTGAGTTGCCCAGGATGGACTAAAACTTGCGGTCCTCCTCACAGGTGTGTGTCCCCACACCTGGCTTGGAAGTGCTGTTCTGTGAAGAATGTGACAGCTTGAGGATGGGAATTCCCTCTGGGGTATACCCTGGGATGTCCATTAGGGTTGAGTGAGAGGGGGGAAAAGGGAGTATTTGAGAAGCTAATTCATCTCTCCCCCCAAAAAAGTCACAGAAGGAACCTAAAAATGTTTTGAAGCAAAATATTACTCACTAATTTAAGGAATATTTGTTTTTGTTTTGTTTTTGACACATGGTCTACCTGTGTAGTTCAGGCTAGACTTGAGCTCACTGTAAATCACCCAGGCTGGCCACAAATTCTAGTGATTCTCCTGCAAGAATATTTACTGAATGTCAGCTGTGTAGCTGATGCTGTGCTGGATCCCTTAAGGGAAAAAGCAAGCAACAGGGTGGGGAAAGCAGAAAGCGGGAAAAGTAGCCTCAGACCAGGGTTCCAGAAATGGGGGAGGGGCGTGGGCATGGCCTCCCTCACACAGACCTGTTCACACATGCGTCATCCCACACCCACTGCCCGTGCACAGCACACCTTTCATAGTAACTGAAAGTAGGAAGGACTGTCCCTCTAGCCGTAGATTTGTGATTCAGTAAAATCCTGTAGTCCAGTGCTGCGGCAATTGTGGCTCCCAGGCAGATAAATTTAGAGGCAGCAGGGTTAGACTGGGGAGGGCTCACAAGTGCCCAGCGAAGGAGAACATTTACTGTCCCATAGGTGTGGCTAATGTGGCGCTCAGAGTTCCCCTAAGGCTGGAATTTCATCTCCACCCCTTTAAAACCAGCTCCTGAGGTGAATAAGGAGAAAAGTAGTTGCCTTTGAGATGGAGAAACAAATAGGAGTACAAGTAGATAAGCGATAGAAGCGCTGGGTGTGGTGGTGCACATCTGGAATCCCAGAACTCTGGGAAGCTGAGGCAGGAGGATTGCAAGTTTGAACCCCAGCCGTGGCTACATAGTGACTTAGCAGGACCCTGTGTCAAAATAAAAAGGGGCTCGCGAAGTAGCTCAGTGCCCCGGGTTCAAGCCTCAGTACCAGAAGAAGAAGGGGAAGAGGAAGAGAAGGGGGAGGAAGAAGGGGACGACTGCATTTCACAAAAACAGTGCTCTGT